AGAATTACAATAAATAGTAAATCTGGTTGAAATAACAAACAACAGAATTACAATAAAGAGCAAATCTGGTTGAAATAAGTTAATCTGGGTTGAAATTACAAACAACTGAATTACAAAAAGAAACATTGATGTCAAGTTAACAGGAGGTAGCTTAATCCTTTTGATTTATTATCTAAGATAGATTTGAGATTTAAAAAAGCTAATTATGTCATCAAGGTACCTTTCATGGTATATAAAGTCAAATATTTTGTCATTCAAATCATATTGAATTATTATACACTGGAAGCAACACCTGTGAATATTTCAATAAATACATCAACCATTACCAAAGACCAGCAGCACAGTAGCAGAGACCAGCAGTACAGTAGCAGAGACAAGCAGCACAGTAGCAGAAACCAGCAGCACGCAGCAGAAACCAGCAGCACGGTAGCAGAGACCAGCAGGGTTAAGAAAAGAGTAAATTATATATTGGTACAGACGCAGCAATAATGCCACCAGTGCATCCCTGCCTTGGTAACTGTGGCAATACAGTGAGGCGAACCCAACAGCATTTGATCTGCATATCATGCCAAGGATGGCAACACAGAGTGTGCCATGTTGGACTTCCACAGGCCGAATGTACTGCTATTAACATAACTGATACTGATGCTCCCCCACAACTAGACTACATGGAAGCTGAACCCATGGAACATGAAAGTATGGACATTGTGCCAAATATTTCACAACATATGAATGCCACATATGTTGTGCCAAATGTGAATGCGTCCTTTGAAGTAAACAGTTCATTCGACATTCCTGAGCGCCACATTGAGGATACTATACAGGATGCGACGTTGCCAGATTCAGTTCCAGCACCAGCAAACCAACAAGTGACATTTGAGCTCCTACCTCAGCATTCTCAGCGTGGAAACAATCTCCTAGCAGACTCTAATGGCTATATGTATAGCATCAAGAGAGCTGGAAAGCGGAAATCAACGTGGAGATGTAAATCTAGAAGCAGAACAATGGGAGAATGCCCTATGACTGTCTCACAAGTTGGAACCTCATTTCCGTACACACAATACAACCACAACCATCAACCTAAGGAAGGACAAGTGCTTCTTTCCAAGATATCTACAGCCACTAAATTGCAATTGCGGGCAACGGGAGAACTGTTTAAAGCAGCATCATGCCTTGTAGAAGATGTCATCCTCGATGAGATAAGAAGTGCTAATGATGGTACAACAGTAGCAGTCCCAAATCTGGGTCGAAATGCCAACAGGGTTCGGCAACGTCTACGACCGCAGGAACCTACAGATCTAAACTTTGATAATGACGACAACTTCATCCCAGAAGGCTTTCTTCAAGGAGATTTGCGCCTAGATGCAGCCAGACATATGGTATATGCCAGCCAGGAGCAGTTGGACCTACTTCGCCAGGCCAAGACATGGTACATGGATGGCACCTTCAAAGTCATCAGTCTGCCATTTGCCCAATTATTTGGGGTTCATGCATTTCTGAAAGGTGATGATGACAACATCAAGCAGGTACCTTTGCTTTTTGCCATGATGTCAAGCCGTCAACTAGGAGACTATAAAGCAGTTCTGGAGTGTATTAAAGCATTGATACAAAACTCCTCCGTGAAGAAGTTTATGCTGGACTTTGAACGTGCAGCATGGAAAGCAGCAAGAGAAGTCTACCCTGATGTTGAAATACAGGGCTGTGTTTTTCACTGGACCCAGGCAGTGTGGCGTAAAGTCCAAGAGCTAGGACTGGTTGTGGCTTACAGAGAGGATGTCGCTGTGCACAGGTTCATTCGTCAACTTCTTGCCCTTCCTTACCTACCATCTGAGCATATAGAAGAAGCCTTCTATGTACTAGCCGATCGCAGCTCTACGGCACTGTTACCTCTAGTGTCTTACATAGAGACAACATGGATCACCAGCAGAATGTGGCCTCCTGCCGTATGGAGCGTGTTCAACCAGCCTATACGAACCAACAATGATGTAGAGGGATACCACAGGCGGATCAATGGTAAGGCTGGGAGAGCGAAGCTGCCCTACTACCTCCTTGTTCCAGTCCTCTACAAGGAAGCCCAACTTGCGTTATTGCAGAAACGCCTAGTCAAAGATGGAAAGTTGCGACGCTACCAGAGAAGAGTCTACACCAACCTTCAAGGAAGAATAATGAAATACTGGGAGCAGTACGAAGAGGATTCCATAACAACATCCAAGCTTATCAGAAAGATCAGCAAACTTGTTAAAGTTTGAACCATCAGGACATTTGCAACTGTTGAACACTGAACTGCCTGAAATAACATTCTTGCACAGTTCTACTTGTACACAATATAATTTGAACTGAGTCCAGATTAATATCCTTGCCAATTATGATTTATGTTCATCTTTATTTTTCTGTATTCTATAAAACATAAATGTATGTAAAACACTAATGTAATTTTGAATGTAAATAAATAAAATACTGCTTCAAATAAATATTTTGTTCAATTATCTTAGTGCTTTAGTTTTGCTTTATTTTTTAAGACCCACAAGCCATGATCATTCAGATTTTTTCAATTTTTTATCAATGAATTCCCCTACTATACCATAACCAAGATTTATTTAAAACAACATACTTACTTGACATTATTTTTATGTAAAATCTCTTATGAAATGTGATTTGCAATATATGGCAAACTAAGGTTACCCATACTAAACATAAAACAAAAAATTAAAAACCATATAATGATAAAAATCATCATTCCAAAAAGTGGTCCGAGCTGTCTTGGGTTTTTAGATTCAATATTTTTTTTCATCAAATAAGTTGAACAACTTTATCAAATTAATATAATATGGTGTCATACTAAATATAAAACAAACAATTAAAACCCTATTTAATAATATAAAAATCATAATTCCATAATAATAATAATGATATAAAAATCATAATTTAAAAAAGTTGTCTTGGGGGTTCTTTAGATTCAAATTTTCTTCCTAATCTCACCAATTAAGTTGATTTAAAACAATTACATCAAATGAACACAATATTTGAATTCACAATATGTATATATGTCACACTAAACATAAAAAAATAAAATAAAAACAATATAATGATAATAAAAATGGTACCATAAAAATCTTAATTTCAAAAAGTGGTCCGAGTTGTCTTGGGTCTTAAGATTCAATATTTTCTTCTTAATCTCACCAATTAAGTTGATTTAAAACAATTAAATCAAATTAACACAATATTTGAATTCACAATATGTATATATGTCACACTAAACATAAAAAACTAAAATAAAAAACAATATAATGATAAAAATGGTACCATAAAAATCATAATTTCAAAATGTGGTCCGAGTTGTCTTGGGTCTTTAGATTAAATATTTTCTTCTTAACTCCCATCAAATAAGTTTATTAAAAACAATTTCATCAAATTGACATAATATATCAAATCAGAAAATATAATATATGCCATCTAAACATAAAACAAAAAATTAAAACCCCATATGATGATGTTAATATCATCATTTCAAAAAGTGGTCCGAGTTGTCTTGGGTCCGAGTTGTCTTGGGTCCGAGATGTCTTGGGTCCGAGTTGTCTTGGGTCCGAGTTGTCCTGGGTCCGAGTTGTCCTGGGTCCGAGTTGTCCGGTTACCTTTCAAACAGAAAACGTTTGTGCCTAGCCCTGCGGGGTGTATTCGACGATATTACCCCTGCTCTTCGGTCTATATTTCTGAAATAAAACTTGAAATATCAAAACAAATTCTATTTTTTCTCATTTCCAGAACGAACGACTCTAAACGAGCAAGAATTGCCTTAGTTTATTTGCTTTTTTAGAAGAAACATTTACGAATAATATTGCAAGATTATATAAGAAAAAGAGCAATAGAATACATTCTGTTTCTTCAAAACCCACATTATAATATCTACAGAGTATAAACAATTCAATTTATTAAACTGTATCTATGCTATAGAAGTATCATGATTGCCAGGTGAATAAATAAAGATATACAATAATTTGTTCTTTCAACATTCCACGCTATTGTAAGATCTGTCTTAGTACCAATGGTACTCTAGAGCGGGTCCTAGCTGTATCGTTCTCTCTTGAGTTTTACTTTTATTTTTAGGGGTTGAATGTCCCCATCCTATTCTCTTTTAGGGTTTTACCATCTTAGCTTGTTACCTAATATTTGTAAGGAATAGAAGTTACACTGGAGTATACTTTCAGATGACTGTAGTTTCCGTTATCTTTACAGCTGTAGAATGGCGGAAAGGGATACGATTTCTTCATCAGTTTTGTAATTTCAGCAATTCTTGCTCGTTTTGTTCCTTTGTTACGATATTCCAAGTTCTGTTGTGTTATCGGTTATATGAAGGGTATTTTCTCCGAAGGTAATGACATATCGCTCAATAATAGAAATTATATGTCACTCTATACTTCCGTAAGTGTGATGATCTTATAGATTGTCGTCCGTTAGAATATCACACTTATGGACGTATAGAGCTGCGCAATAAATGATGACGTAATCAAACGTTTCATAAGTTATACGTGCGAAGGAGGTATTCAGTAAGACAGGTTTTACTGTACCTTTAAATTATTTACCCGGTTTCAATGTTTCCATTTTTGTGTCCAAGGGGGTGAAGATACGGGAATAATAAGCATGCTTTAAGTGAGTTGCGAAATCTCTCTAATATTAAACCCATATCTATCTCATATTAAACTTATTTTATACCCATTTACCGATGAGTACCGACATTATGCGAACATTATAAAATATAATATCAAATTTTAAATCAATGTATGTACCGGGTGGCAGGAATACCCGGAAAATGGGGATAAAGGGAATTTGCAATTTTTGCTCTATAAAATATTGACCAAATGACAGAGGGCTGACTCAAAAATTCTCAGTAAAATCTCCATCATGAAAACGTGGAACCACAGTCGTCGTAACGGTAAGCTTACCCTCACTATGAATGGGGTGAACATATAAATCAATATTCATAGCAGTTATAAATGAAGAAAGCAGTTCACCGCTAGGATGCCTAGAGTCAACGTGTTATTGGGAACTTCACTACTTTTTATTGTAGCCGGGATATGCCTATTAACTTACAAGGCATATCATACCGATATATTTAAAGTGCCAAAACCGAGGCGATACTACCAGCAACATGGAAACAAGACGATTAGAATACAAGAAATGCAAGAAAGAAAAAACCTCATGCAGGAAAAATGTCGAAAACACACTCGATATTATCGGGATTTAACTAAGCATCGGGACACATTGTATAGTAACTTGTATATCAATCAAAAATATAAATTTCTACTTTGCCCTATTGCCAAAGTTGGAAGCACATTTTTGAAGACAATTTTTAAAACATTGCTCAATAACTTAACTGAGAAAAATCCCTTTAAAACCTACGCTCACCAATTAACCGGAAGCATACATGGCGAAAAATTGCCAACGCTAAAGGATTTTAACGAAACTGAGCAAGATGAAATTCTGAGAACATATACGAAGGTAATGTTTGTCAGAGATCCTCTGAGAAGACTTTTTTCTGCATATGAAAATAAATTTGTCACTATAAATGTTCCCTATTGGTCAGGAGTTGGCCGGCATTTAGTCAAGACATTTCGTGAAAACCCGAGCAATAAATCCCAGGCCTGTGGCTATGATGTTGCATTTGCCGAGTTCCTAAGTTTCGTTATATCAAGTTTTGAAAAACATTTCGAAAATGTCATGGATTCTCATTGGAAGCCATTTGATGTCTTGTGTGATCCGTGTCTGATCAAATACGACATTGTAGGGAAAATGGAGACATTCCATGACGATATTCAGCACGTACTGCGTACTATTGGAGCAGGAGATAAAATACGACTTCCTACGGCCGACACCCCTAGCTTGGAACTACGAAGAGTAACAATAAATCGTGAGATCGAGGGGTCATTTTCTCAGTTTCCAAAATTGAAATTCTGTTTTTCTAAAAATGAATTCGTTGTAAGAATTGTCCAAAACTTTATCAGCCATGGGTATATCGAACCGTTAGACGCCAACTCAATTCATGATTTGTTAGAAATACCGCATGGACCAAATATTGCATCAAATTTGACTCAATTGGTCTTTAATCGTATGGATAAAAGTAACCAAACTAATTTGCTATACCTTCCGTTAAAAACACAAAAAGCTGAGTATGCTAATCTGCCGAAAGACATGTTATACAGACTGAAATTGGTCTATCAGAATGACCTTGTATTGTTTGGTTATGATTACTGACACAGAAAAGTAAAATCATAAGTATGTATTATATTTATTGAGAAATAATAAATACACACAATACACATTGCTAAATAAATTGTAGACAATATACAATCAGTCTAATGCCTTGGTCACATATGCTCTGATTTTGACTACGGCGCTAGGCCGATGAATATTTTTATCAAAATCGGCCGGCGAACCCGGGTATCGTATCGCGCAGATAAAAGTTGCCGATGTGTTGGCGATTTTTTCTCAACCAAACTCATCGGTACCCACCCAGCCGTGTCCCGTACGGTCATCGCACGATTATCTTACGACTCCCGGTGGCATCGTGAGGTCATCTAGGGATTTTATCTAACTTTACACACTGATTTGTTCGATAATTCTCTATTATTATTAATGATATAAACATTTTAAATATGATAAGTTTATGTCTAACAACAAAACAATCAATTAGAAACAAGAAAATATAAATATATTTAATTTTGCATACAAATATATACAATCAACTATTAATTGGCTTTATTCCCTATGCCTCAAAAGAATGTTCATTGAAAATGATAGCAAAGTCACCGTTGTGACGCAATTGCGTATATGCATAAGCAATTAAGTGGTATTAACTTGGGAGACAATCGGTGCTAGAGTTGAGACCATGCGCGGGGTCCTCCAACCAGCTCTGCGGAACTGTGGCCCTGCGGGACCGTGATTGTCGGGAAACAGCCCAAGTAAACCTAATTCACTTTCAAACAATCAAGACGGTAAACCGTAGAGTGTACCTGTCTTATATATCAGCTAGATAAGTCGCGTTGCGAACATGATTGTTTGAAATTGGAGACAATTATGTACATAGAAAGCGATGTATTAAGGTTAGGAAATATAATTGCCCAGAACTTTTTTCTAAAATATAAAAGAACGAATTGTATAATGAAATATAAATGTAAAACAATAACACATTTGGGTCGTTGTGTGGGTGGATGGATCTTTTCGTCCTTATTAGCTGCTTGTCATTCTTAGCATTTAATCCTGTTGAACAGGATGATACCTTTTATCCATATATTCGATTCAATCAAGCAAATGCCATTAAAAATCATTTGAAAATGTTTCTGTGAGTGTAATTTTTCAAGGGCCACACTTTGCGAGAGTCTAGCTCCAATTTTTTTATTTCAGTATCATAAAATAAATCAGATGATATGATTATTTTCAATAAATTAATATGAATCTCAACATCATAATGTTATAGAATGTGTATACCTGTATGTACAGCTGATCATACAAAGACATGTCTTTATTCAATGCAGAATGATTTATTTTTGAGACTGAAATGAAAGAAACTTTTTTATGAATATATGTATAGCTGTTTACACTATTTACACAATTGATAACTTTTTATTACGGATCCTGTTGACATGTATAAATATAACAGAGTGAAATATCACGAAATCAAATTAAAAAATGTCCGTTAATATCCGCACATTGCGCACATGATATCCACACCGCTTGTTTTCGTATAGAACAGTCTGCATAAGGGAATAAGGGAATTCCATATTCTGTCTCAACTTCTGGTCCAATCCACCTTTTACATTAAATCTATTCGATTCGATCCATATCCATATGTTTACATAAAGTATCGGCAAGTACTTTTTATTTTTTTATTTTATCTTATTTCAGACAAATTATTTACGTACTAATAAGTGTAACTTTTATTTATATTTATCATTTTTCATAGAAAATTCTGCTCAAATAATGATAGTCCATCATCTATGGTCGCCGGGTTGGCCTAGTGGTTAAGGCATTGGTCTGAAAAGTAGGAAGTCTGGCTTCAGGCTGAAAAGTAGAGGTCTTGGGTTCAAACCAAGGTCACAGCACTTCTTGTGATTTTTCTTTGACCTATGACTACTGACCTATACCGGCGATTACTAGAGTGCTGCTAACTCGATAAAAGGCTGACGCTGGCTAGAATTGTCTATTCTAGCCAGGATAAAGATACCAGTTCTTCAACTCGACAATGGGAAGAACTGCTCTACCTTACTGACTAATATGTCATGATATGACATCTAAAGAGTCAATAAAAGATATATATATTGAGTAATATAAACCGTCTTTAAAGTTCATCATAGTTCAAACAACGAGACATTGAGTTTAATGAGCAATGTCGACACTTCCTGCTTTGGGGTAATATTTGCACTGGCCTGCTATTCTAACCCACTCATTGGTTCCGTCAATCTTGGCCACGAATGGATGAACGGTATTTGTGTTAATCCTAACAGTGCCACCCGGAGCCAATCGCCAACCTTTACTCGGCTCAACAGTTCCGCTAAATGTGATCCACATAAGCAGGACAGATCGGGGATGCGTATTCCTGAACGTCTGTGAAATAAAGAAAACTGATGACGTACAGAGTGACACAAAAAAAACAATTTACCAATTCTGAAATTTCATAGTATTTGAGATTTCAATAATCCATGTTCAAATGTAACTTTCTAAAATGATGTTTCAAAATTGGGATGTACACATCTAGACAAGTAGCAAAGATAGTAATTATATCACGACATCTGGTTGAAATGCGAGGCAACTGCGCCTTAGACCATTTCACAGAAAAGACTAAAACTGAAGTTTGTCTTGAAGTAGAATCATATTGGAAAATGTTGTAAGCAAGTGAGTAGCTTACTACTACACTGCAGAGGCCAAACATTGCAGATAAAACTGTGAAAATCAATTTTTCGCGTCGTAGATGAGACTATTAGAGCAGGTAAATGATTTGTTTATAGGCCCTTCGGGATAAATATACCCTTTGCATTCGTTCGACTTCTTAAAAGAGAGCTCTTCGTCTTCAGTCTGCGCGCAGGGTAGGATAAATATCTCATGAGCATCAATTAGTTTAGAGAAAGGTCTCTAAACTTAAGTTATCAGTCAAATGTGCTGCTACTGGAGTTGATATTTATACAAAAATACCATGACATATATGTATTTTGCAACTGTTCATAATTGAGCTGTTAACCCATGTTTGTTTATAAGCATACATACTGTCGTGACTGCTACTCCTCCGCTTGCAGACTTGGTGCCACTTGGACCGCTACAGCCATCTAGAAATGTTAGAGTTTTCATGATATCATGTTATCATATCTTTGGGTGGTGTGATTTTTCATTTTGACAGTTGTTCTTTTCTTTTTAATTCGTTAGGATATTTTCCATTACAACTTCTGGAGAAAGACAATTATCCAAATCCAGTGAAGGGCCGTACATTAGCCTGACAACCAGGATCACGATATTGTGGATAAAAAATGGCGTTTACTCACTTGGTGTACAAATAGCTGGCTTATCATTTCCTCCCAAAGAACCCTTTACGACAATTTGTCCCGGACAGAAGTACCCCATCACGACACCCATTCTGTTCATTGTACCGGAAGCTACTGCATTGGCCTTGGAACTGGCGATTGCTTTCTTGTGATTGTTCTCAAGTCCTATACAAGCGACACTACCCCACCCGCGACAACAGGCGCCGACGCGTTTGCAGCTCTCGAACGACGCCAAAGCAGATATCTTTGCTGTAATAAAAAAAAAGATAATGTGGTTACCAAATTTTAGAGACAACTAAGTAATTGTTTTCATTGCTGGTATTTGTTGAGTAAGCGGTTGGATTAACATACTAGTATTAGAAATAAACTATGCCTGACATGGCACGAATGGTCTATTTTACTAGTTTTAAATATGTTTTAAGAAACAACAAGAATTTACCTTTCAAGCTATCTGCTAGAGCACGGGAGATGAACCAACTGCACGTGATAGGACAATTGCTCAAACGTGACCAACCCCATGTTGTATACGGGCAATTAACACCAGCTTCTGCCTACGAGGAAAGCACGCCCACTATTTAAGTATCTAAGTATGAGTATTTTGTTCAAAATAATATATTCAATCGGCCGACTGTAGAGAAAATCGGAGCAAATGTGACCAATGCATTATAGGGAGTACGGTTTTAATGCCTAATACCCAAGTCACATTTCCTACGGCGACCTTGCGGTCTATCATTTCTGCGGCCAGTAACATTTCTACGCTCGTCGTGGAATTTCTGCGCTCTCATACTTTTGCAGTCACATTTCCCACGGCAGCCGCACGGTGAATTTTAAATTTCTGTTGATAAATAATACTTTTTCATTTTATTTACATCGGGACAATTTATAAATGTTATTCATAGTGCTAGGATGTAATATCAAATGAAAAGTGATCGTGAAAAATTGACAAATAATGATTCAATCTTGTTTAGCCAGTTGATTTCTACGGGGACCTCAGAAATCAGGCCTCCTAGACTTCCAACAACGCGAACATCAGTTCTGATACCGCGAAATTCATTCCTTGCACTCGAACCACGAATCTCATATCGCGAACGTGAAATCTTATGTCGCGCACCACCATTTCCTTGTTTCCGAACATATTTCTTGTACCGCGCACAGAGATCCGTAACCGCGAACAATTTGTACATAATACATCCGGGTGTTTGGGATTCCAAGTTACATGTATATACCAATATGCAACGGATAGCAGAGAGACTCAGCTGATTTTAGGTAGATCTACCGTTTTTGTATAGTTAATCTTTTTTCTTACACTGGTTTTAGGTGCCATGGTAGTTAACAGGAAATGACAAAACAGGAAGTGACAAAACCATGCTGGATTTCAAACATTTTTTGAACAAAGATATGAGAGTTCTGTTTTGACCTCCAGTCAGTTTAACTAGTTCCACATACCATTTACATGACCAGGATCACAATGACCATGGTCAGAATGATCTAGACATGATGAAAATACTTTTTCAGCCCTCTAAAATTTGTGACTGAAAAATAGATAAAAGTAGGAGCTTAGAACAGAATCCCTTGCATTTTTCAGAAAATGTGCCTAATATATTGCTCTTAGTGATACAATCTCGGGAAATTTGATATCATTCGTTGAAAAAGAAAAAATGAAAACAACTGAATTAAAAAGCTATCTTTTTTCCTTTAAATGACCGCCACTTTTTTCAGACAAGTTTCTAAAATTTTAAAGATTGTATCATTTAAAGCAATATATTGGGCACATTTTCTGAAAAATTCAAAATATTCTGTTCATTGACCTTTCCTATGCTCCTACTTAAAGCTATTTACAGTGACCTTTTCAGAGGGCTAAAAAAGTTATTTCATCATGGTTAGGGTCATTCTGACCATGGTCAGTGTGATTCTTGTCATGTAAATGGTATGTGGAACTAGTTAAACTGACTGGAGGTCAAAACAGAACTCTCATATCTTGGTTCAAAAAATGTTTAAAATTAAGCATGGTTTTATTACTTCCTGTTTTGTCTTTTCCTGTTTAGCATCATGCGACCTCTGAGATGGGCCCAGAAAAAATGGGTCCGACATTTTAGCGCTCCACACGTCTTGGGTCAGATATCGTCCTGGTTGCTGAAGTCAGGAATCTTTTGGGAACATGGGGCAAAACGGCCCTCATAATAATTTGATCCGTCCAGAGGTTTTTCTAATCTGTCAATCATCGCGAACTTTGATGTTCCATCTTATGAAGGGATTATATTTCACATTTTCTGTGATTTTTCAGTGTTCGAAAAAAATGTTGAGAGTATGGCAAAATGGCCCATGGGTGGGACAAAACAGCCCACAATGAAAGCTTCGGTTTTAAAACCAAGATTAATTAAGTACAGGACTCGTCAACACACATTTATCTCAGACGGTCAAAGATTAGACAGATAAAGTATTCTTAGCCCTTACCCTAAAATTACGATTTAGTCAACCAAGTGTTAAAATCTTTATCAGGATGATAGATTGTTATTATCCTGTATGTAAACAGTTAATCCCACAAGCCGTAATGGGGGGGGGGGGGGCAACATTTAAGTTAAGTTTTCATCTAAAACGTTTTAAAGGCAAAGGGTAGCATCTTCAAATTATCAGTAGCTGGAGCTACAGATATAGCACATCAAATATTCTATAAAATCAGGAATATTGTACATAGGGTAACTCATTTCTTTATTATGATGCAATCATCGGCTCAAATAGACAACATTGGAAAAGGCTGTCACTAATTTGGACATACGTGTTGTTACTCAAAAGTCAGGTTTTGGAAAATCTCAATGCGCGTGATTGCAAGGTAGTCCCAATATTTTGTGTTTCCTAGAACTTGAAAATACTGTTCTATTCTAACTTACACTTAAGAAACATAACATTTACTAGCATGTGGCTCTGCGGCTGCGTGCTGCAGAAAAACCGAGTGTATTATTTGTACAATAATGTTATTGTATGTACATGCTGGTTGCCAAAATGTGGCTCTGCGGCTGCGTCGCCGCTGGAAAATATACAAAAATGTTAATAATGGACAATTGATTAGCTTACTCGATAATGTAGTAATAACAAATCTCATTTTCAAAATTAAAAAATTTCCGACCACCTGTAAAACCTTTTCTATCTTTAGCATCACACACTCATTAATGCCCATTATTATTCTGTTGAGAACATGATGCTAAAAATCTTTGAAATCCTCAACAATTGAGGTTAAAGGAAAAAGGTTTGTCCGAAAAATTTTCATTACATTTTAAAGACATTTACTTAGTTTATCTCGCCGCTTAGAGCCGAAGTGATCTTATTCACGAATACATACACCGTTCACTCAGTAATACTGCATTCACAATTACCGTTCTATTTTAAACGACCAAATAGAAATCATTTTCTTGCTAATTCGTACTACGTGACTCAAACGCAATAAAATACATTTCTATTCTAACTTACACTTAAGAAACATAACATTTACTAGCATGTGGCTCTGCGGCTGCGTGAAGTGTTAAAGTCAGTAAGCGAAAATTTATATTGATTATTAAGCACAGACATTTACATAAACTGTTGAGTAAGATTCTTAAAATATCTTTATAATTATAATCCTAAATTCTTTGAAACACGTAATCCTTTTTTCAACGTGTGCTGGATAAAACCATCTTTAACAGTCTCCTATCTGAACTGCCTTTCTTTGCGGCCATTGTTGCACCGCGGGGTCTTAAATATTGCGTTCTAAACAACGTATCATGTCACCACATGACTTAAATGCCTTTACAATAAATTATCTGCACCTTGTGTAGCTTATAGCTTTATCACTAAACTTTAACACATATGATTTTGTGATTTGTGATATAAAATTGCTCTAAAAACGTATTTTCATTGCTTATGTTTGCTTCTTTTAAACCATCTTATATTATAAAGTTACTGGACAAAAATCTGAGCATGTTGCTACAATGACGCACTTGCTACCTTCTTATATACTGTTTTTAAATATCTTATATTGATACAAATATTAGTGTCATAAAACGACAGTCTGAATTTCTAATATGACAAATATCATCAAATCTGAGAAAACCTTGCTAAACTAAGAGCTATGATAAATGTAAACTTTAAACAAATCTGAATTAACATGTGATCTGATAAAAACTGTATTATATTTGTTGTAAATGTGTGTTTATTAGAAGTCGGTTTCTCTAGTGTTCGTTAGGCTGATTCCACTACTGTCTAATGTCAATGATTTGCAAAATCATGTCTTAGCTGACAAAATACATACTTCGGGGCAATTGTTTACCCACATTGACCATCTGTCGAAAGCACTGCCGTATGACCCTATTGTGTTTGTGGCTTTGCTGCCTAAATCACACCCGGAAGCTTCTCTTTAAGCTGTCTTAAATCTGGATGCTCAAGTTGTCGTTTTTCATTGGATGATTTGGTAGCCACTGAAAACCAGTATATGTACTTTTCAAACATATATACTCAATCTCATTTTATTACAAAGGCAACAAAACATGTATAGGCCAAATACAATATATGCCATTTAACAATGCGCCATATCCAGATATCTGCTATGTTACCTTATTTTCTACAATAAAAAAGAAAACAGTATCATTACTCCAGTGATTTTCACAGACATGTCTCCTTCCGACCTTTTGTACCTTAAACTCTCCCCGGCAAAAGTATATAACCTATAAATGTTTCTTATGAAATGAAAATACTTTTCTTATGTAATTATTGTTATTTCGTGTATTACTCATAAAACTGCTTACCATTTTCTTCAATTCCTTATGCATGTGTTCTAGATTTTCACTTGTGAAATCACAACTTACCACTATGACGAGTAATACAATTTGCTTATAGTGAAAGCTTCACTTTTCCTTATTACAGGTACTACAATTCCCCTCATCTCGGGTACTACAATTCCCCTCATCTCGGGTACTACAATTCCCCTCATCTCGGGTACTACAATTCACCTCATCTCGGGTACTACAATTCCCCTCATCTCGGGTACTATAATTCCCCTCATCTCGGGTACTGCAATTCCCCTCATCTCGGGTACTACAATTCCCCTCATCTCGGGTACTACAATTCCCCTCATCTCGGGTACTACAATTCCCCTCATCTCGGGTACTACAATTCCCCTTATCTAAGGTACTACAATTCCCTTTATCATGAGTACTACAATCTTATCATGGGTACTATAAAATTCCCCTTATCTTGGGTACTACAATTCCCCTTATCTTTGGTGCTACAATTCCCTTATCTTTGGTACTACAATTCCCCTTATCATTTGCTTTATTATTCCCCTTATCATGGGTATTACAATTCTCGAATACTACAGTTCCCCTTTTATCATGGGCAGTAAAAGTTACCTTTATGGGTTCTACAATTCCCTTCATATTGAGTTCTATAATTCTCCTTATCATAGGTACTATAAATCCACTTATCATGAATATACTACAATTCTCCTTATCATGTGTACTGCAATTCCCCTCATCATAGGTACTACAATTCCCCTCATCATGAAAATATAATTCCCTTTATCATGGGTACTACAATTCCCTTTATCATGGGTATTACAATTCCCCTTATCATGGGTATTACAATTCCCTGTATCGTGGGTACTACAAATGTACTTATCATGGGTACTATAATTCCCCTGGTCATTTTATACTACAATTTCCCTTATCATGTTTAGTACTATTCCCCCTATCTTGGGCGCTTCAAATTTTCTTTATCATTATGTTTTATAAATTTCACTTTTCATGAGTACTATAGTTCCATTTATCTTGGTCACTGCAATTCCCTTAAGATTTGCCTTTTTCTACAATCTAAACAGCCTCTAATATTTTATTTTATTTTCACATCTCTTCATTGTCAATTTAACATTTTGTAAAATTTCAGTCTTTCACTTACACCATATTTTCAATGCAAATAATTCGTACCTCTGAAAAGGGTTTCTTGAAATGTTGACTCCATATGTAATCCCGGTTAAGTAATAAACCATTGTATTCAAGGACTTGTTTGATAAAGGAACGAAATGTTCTATCATTGTGTATACTTGGCCAAGAAATAGCTGATTGCCATTTTTGAAACTATCAACCGGTACCTGAACTTTTTGTCCAATGCATGTATTTGCCTGCATTTTTTTAAGTTTTACTCCTGAAAATACTCTGCTTAAATCTGCGCCCCGGTTCTATGAGAATGCGTCGACAAAATTAATTTATTTTTGTTTTGATTTTCAAAACGATCAACAGTGTGATCTGAGACTAACATAACTGACTGTATCTTATTTAAATTGTCAAAAAAAACTGATTCCGCAGTCCTCGTAATCTACCAATTTTCTAGCAGCTAGACTTTGCAAATGAGGTTTTGGGATACCTATATTCACAATAATTTCAAAATATGTGTTATCCGTAAACCATTTTAGAGACTCTCCTCTGAAACAAGTGCAGAAATGATTCTAACCACCATCAGAACACCCTTTTTAAGTTCGATCCACTCATTTTCATAAGTTTCTGTCAATGTTTGAAACAAATTTTTGATTCACATGTCACTGAATAACCGTCAACCTGAATCTCTAGCATCTGAAGATACCAAATGCCTTTTTCTTGGAGACTGATACGACCTTGCCGTTCAGTTTTGTCAAATTTTGAAACCAAAACTGTTCTGTTTCTGCATTTTAGACAGTTAAATATACATGTAGCAGTCCCAACTTTGAGATTCTTTGATATCTATAGATAAACATTTTGTCATCAACCTGTCAACATTGCCGATAGCTGTTATCATTTATATAATCTTAACAAACTACTATTGCTATTTTCTGAAAACCATTATAGCATTTTGATATATTCAAGGTCATTTGATAACAAAGACAAAATACATATTATCACTGTTGTGTACTGAACATTTTTAACAATCCAGTGCATCATTTCCACTTTGCTCTGTGCAAACGGCAAGTCAATTTTACCAATGACATCCTTCATATAGTATCCTTAAACGTATAATATATAATTTGAAGGAGAATAACACTATCAATCTTTCATTATTTCATTTTGATTTACTGTCTCAGTTCAGCCTTGTACTTAACATTCATATTTCGCTTCCTCATTTAACTAATAGTAAATATTTCTTTCAATAAAAATATATGAGTACTATATTATCATGTTTTGACTGTTTCGTGTAGTATGAATATTACCACACTCACCTTTATCAAGGTACCACTCTCAGTGGTCATTCATTTATTCTAACTTGCCATTATATTGAGAGCTAAACTGTTACTTTTGTGCTTACTACAATACCCTTGATTATTGATACTAAATCTTTTCTAATCATGGGTACTACAATACCCCATCTATGTGACACTACGATTGCTTTCTCATAGGTAATCCCCCTTTATTATGGGTACTCCGATCCCCCTTATCATGTACAGCTGTATATTACAATCCCCTCATTAGATCGTTCATGCTTTACCGTTTCCTATTATTGGTACTACGTTTTACATCCTTTAAGAAAATTTTTACATTTTACATCAAGCATATATATTCTTCTTAAAATTACTTGATATGTTTTTCCTTTTCAAAATCTTAACATATATACATGTTAAACTTACATTTATCATTTTCTTCTATTTAAAGCCAAACACTAGCATGTTCTTCAAGACTATCCCCAACAGTTAACAAATTCCTTTTCAGGTATATTAGTACTTATCTTTTTAGTCTTTGATGTGCCCCTAATTGTGCAGTTTGGGTTCTTGTAATACCCACTTAGCAGATTGTCTTTCTATAATTCCGCAGCCGTATTAAATCCCTTTTGTTGAACCATCGATGAGCTTCTTTGTCTGCTTCATTTTCCCCATCATTGTTTGTGCGGTCATCTTGCCTGAAACTTTCACTGACTGATTGGTATCTATTGTTATCAAATTTTTAACTTTAAAGATTATAGATTACACAAAATAATCGCTTATATTCATTGAATAAGATTATTCAACTTACAGATATTGATATGATAATATAGGTTTCTTTGTATTTGTTATATTTATTTGTAACCTTCATAAATTAGCTTTTGATATCCTGCCAAAGTACCACAACCAGTCCCACTCTGGTCTTCTTAAATGATTACTTCAATTTAAATCTGACAAAAGTTCCTTACCCTTTTTTTTTTAAACTATGCATGCCTCATACAAATGGCCGTTTGTTCTGCAAATGCATGGTCCGCTTTCTCGTCAATTCCTTTGTTGTCTATGTACTGTTGTTTGTGCCCATTTTTCTTCCAAATTATGTTGTTTTTCTTTGAATTGATAGAAAGTTTTTCTGTTTAGAGTGATTATTCTTAGCTTCATTTTATTTTCCGTTTGTTGGGATTTGTTTCCGAGAATTCCTTCAGTAAGCTTGTGCCTGCATGGCCGTATTATTTTCAAGGTGACGATTATGAGTTGGTAGTAACTAACGTCCGTTTATCTCGCCGCTTAGAGCCGAAGTGATCTTATTCACGAATACATACACCGTTCACTCAGTAATACTGCATTCACAATTACCGTTCTATTTTAAACGACCAAATAGAAATCATTTTCTTGCTAATTCGTACTACGTGACTCAAACGCAATAAAATACATTTATCGTCAATGATTGGATATTCATTCACATGCATGAAAAACTGGGAAAATGTTTCTTCCGAATTCCATATGAAAACACCTCGTTGGAATTTTACTTATGCGTAATAATACGAACAAAATTACGGAATTTTTTTCAATCAGATGCGTGGTTCGCGGTTACGGATCTCTGTGCGCGATACAAGAAATATGTTCGGAAACAAGGAAATGGTGGTTCGCGACATAAAATTTCACGTTCGCGATATGAGATTCGTGGTTCGAGTGCAAGGAACGTAGTTCGCGGTATCAGAACTGATGTTCGCGTTGTTGGAAGTCTAGGAGGCCTGGAAAGGAACAAATATTATAACTCCGAGTTATAATCTCTACGGCGACCCTGCGGCCTGTAAAAAAACTGGATACGCCGTAAGGAGGCCGCAAGGCGAGCGTAGTTTTCTTACGCTCGCCGCATAGATACACCGATTTAATCGATCTGCGGTCGACACACGGCCTCCGTACGACAAATGTGACTGGGGTGTAAGTCACATTTGTCCCGATCCATCGGCCGGCGCTCGGCCGATTAAACGTTTTGCTCAATATTGTAGTGAAAATCGGAGCAAATGTGACCAAGGCATTTCAGAGGATTATAAACATACTTGCACCCAAGCTCCGTTATTGACGGTGAAAGCCCTGACATGATTTGTTTGTTCATTGTAGCATGTAATATGCATCTGTCGACCGCCCAGGTTATACAGCTTTGAACATTGAACCAAGCCCAACACTGCAATCAACGTGACTATCTTTAGACTCCACATCTTCATGCAACCTTCCCCTTTCTGCCTCAACGTATACGTATTCTGTGTGTCGGAATTATAGCTTATATTTGAGTTACTGGTTTTGTATGAGCACTTATTTCCGTTTGTGACATTAATCCTCGTATATCACCTCCAATTGTTTATTAGCACCAAGTGTGTATATATCACGGGTACATTTTATCATACTTCTATTGATATTTGTTGTCAAACCGGAGCACTTATCATTAATCCAGTTTAAAGTGCAACTCGTGAAGGTGTATGGGGAATCATATACACGGGGGAATAACCCCCTCCACAAAATTTGACTGTAACTGGTCGGTCGGTCAGTCGAAACTTTAGTAGAATATTCAGCAATGTAATGCATATCGTTTAGCAAATCGATCGTTCGATTTTGGTATTGCTCACCGTTTCGTATAAAAGGCGTGATCCCGGAATAATACTCAAGAATTCATAGGTTGAAGTCAATGTGCACACCTATGCGTATTCATCTCCCTATCACACCAAACGAGTTTTCAACCTTTCTTTCCAGTCCTACACTGTGGCTAGTCGATCCATGTGGATGCAGTCATTTATATGCAATGTTTCGTGGGTTCTCGCGTACATTATAATGAATGGGGTCGTTGAAAAAATATGACAGAAAATCGAGAAAAGTGATCTCAGAGTTTCTACTGAACATATTGACTTGAAATCTTGCATACATATTCAATATACATAGTATGACAATGTGTGAAAGTTGCAGCTAGCATAGTCCTGTTATAGGAAAGATATTTGAACAACATTTTGTAAACGTCAACATATATGTATCAAATGGATTCAACTATGTATCATTTGGATTCAGAACGGTAACAAATGGATGCTATATTAAATTATGCTTTTATCATGATGATTTATTTACAGATGGACAACTGGCCAGATTTTCTTTGTATCCATTGTTCGGATAAACATTCCTTATTTAGTGAAGTAATTAGCCACACCATTACAATACACCCTCATGAATAATTGAAATTGATAGACTTTATATAGTCCCGTCAACTGGAAAATGCCATTACAGAAGGAAAAACTATGGTTTCATCCCTAATACTGTTAATTTGAAAAACGGGTCCATAACATGTAATAATGACAATGAAGATGTTGAAATTAGGTACGCCAATCAAGTGAATTCAGAGCCCAAGAACCATCAACCCACTGAAATACCCACAGATCAAGTTTCAGAGCCATTAACATTCCTTGAAAGTGACAATGGGCAGCCAACAGATGGACCATCTGTAAATCTTGGTGATTTTGTCAGGTCAGCTGAAAGAGCCTACAGATTCCTTGAAAAAATGACCCAAATTCAAGAATTATATCATCTATTTACAATTTTTTGAAATCGTGGTAAGTGGAATCTTTCCAATTACCAATATAGGATTATTATTGTTTTTGGACACTGTGGACTATTTCACCGCTCCATGTGCCAAACAAGTAAGATACAGAAAGGAAACTAAATACTTTTGGTTCATGGGCTTTCGTCTGTTTCACGGGAAGTTTCTGAGGTAAGACTTTATTCATTTTTACTTTTAATTCTTATGATAATAAAATATAACTAGACTTTTGAAATTGAACAAGTTCAATTTCCTTCTTATTTATCCAGAGTCATCCAGAATAAACTGAGTCATCCAGAAAAAGATGGATGGATGGATGGATGAAATAGGAAGGAGGGATAGGATAGAATAGGAAGGAACGATAGGATAGAATAGGAAAGGATGAGATAGAATAGAATAGAATAGCAAGGAATGATAGAATAGGAAGGAAAGGAAAGAATAGGAAGGATAGATAAGAAGGATAGGATATGATAACATGGGATAGGATAGGAAGGATAGGATAGAATAAGAAGGAACGATAGGATAGAGTAGGAAAGAAGGATAGGATAGGAAGGAAAGGATAGGAAGGAAAAGATATGAAGGAAAGATAGATAGAAGGAAGGATAAGATAGGAAGGATGGGTGGAAGGATGGATGGATTTTTCAACATTTTCTCCACTTCTCTTGACTTTCTATCAGGATACCATAAGATCGATTTTTCTCGAAATTTTAAAACGCCATAACATAAGTCGGATCGAAATTTGGTTTGCAGATTCAGATCCCTTAGGAAAATTCTATCCTTAATTCATAACTCATACGTTAAATTTAGAGAAGTTTTTATTTTGACCTACTTTTCAGACACCATATCTCAAAAGTGGGTCAAAATATTTTCTGACAGCAAAAAGCTAACACTATAAGCACACTCTTGGCTACATATATACCAAATTTTGAAGAATATAATTAAGGTGTAGTGTCAGAATCGAAAAAATGAGGAAAAGCTTTGAATTTGACCTAGATTTTGACCTAGGCCCTGGACTGGACTTGGACCTAGACTTGACTTGGACCTAGACAAACACTGGACTTGGACCTGGACTGGACCTTGACTTGAACCTGGAAATGGACTGGAAAGGTATTTTTTCAATTTTTTCACTTTTCTTGACTTTCTATAAGGTTATCATCAGATCGAATTTTTCTTGAAATTTCAAAGCGCCATAACTTCCGAACCAGAAGTCGGATCGAAATTTGATTTGCAGGTTTTGATTCCTGAGAAAGTTCTATCCTTAATTCATAACTCATACGTTGAATTTGGAGAACTTTTTATTTTGACCTACTTTTCGGACGCCATATCTCAAAATTGGGTCAAAATACTTTCTGACGGCAAAAAGCTAACACTATTAGCACACTCTTGGCTACATGTATACACCATTTCGAAGAATATAATTAAAGTGTAGTGTCAGAATCGCAAAAATAAGGAAAAACTTTGAATTTGACCTAGATTTTGACCTAGGCACTTTGGTGTCCAAATTTTGAAGCTAGATGGCTTTTGAGGTTCCATTCTTTTAAAAGCTTTCATTGTATTTAGCTGAACTCAGTCTATATTTCGTATTTTTCACTTCAAAAAAATCTTTTTTTCCCATTGACTTAACATGGGCACCACATTTAGCGATTTTTGAGCTTTCAAAACGCAATAACTTCAGAACCGGAAGTCAAATTTGGTTTGCAGATTCGGATTCCTGAGATCATTCTACACTTATATCATAACTCACATCTCGAATTTGGAGAATTTTTTGTTCTGACCTACTTTCCGGACACCATATCTCAAAATCGGTAACAGTAATCAAAAATCTGATGGCACACTTATGAAAGGGCTGTTTCTAAGCTACATGTTGATAAAAGACAAAGTTGTTTCGATAAATAACGACGAAGATAATAGACAGATTTAAGATTTGACCTAGTTCTTGACCTTTGACCTAGATAAAAAATTGACCCAATTTCCGAGAAACTAGATACTGGACCTAAATTGACCATATACAGGACTTGACTCAATGTCTTCTAGTTAAGGAGAAAACGTGTGTAGAAGAATAAAGAAGAAGAAGAATACTGACAAAAGCTATAGACTCCAGATTTACATCTGGAGTCTAATAAAAATGGTCCTGATCAACACAGGCTTCGCTATAAGTATTGCAGTAGCACATTGGTGGAGGAGGCCATGGTTCTTTACCATGCATTTTTAGTGCGCTTTAGCTATTGAAAAGGTTGCCGCATTCGTCGCACATGTGGCGTGTTGGGGCAGTTTCCTCCACTGGCTGTACGACAACCAGATCCATCTACAAAATAGTTGTGATATATATTGAAAATAAAATCAAAATGTCCATCATCTTGAGTAAACATCAGATTATCGTTGGGCATCAAATATTCACCATATACTACTGTAAAATTATATTTTTGTTGAATTATTGTCCCAACTCAAGTTTATATGTAACCATATTTGTTTCTTCCTGATGTATCCAATGAGAGCGTTTAAGAAATATATGTAAAATATTAAAAATACACACATTCAAAATGATTCAATTAAAACCTAGCCAGTCTGTTCATTGAATCCAATTAGAACGTCTACTAATCCACATGATACATCATAATTAAATTGCTTTTTTAAAGCGGATATTTCATACCATAACCCCAAAAATAGTATAAAATGCGTTGTATTTGTATTTTACTTCACACGGACATATTTGTGTACGTGGAATAATTATATTACTTGAATTTTTTATTCCCCATTATAAGGTAAACCTATGGCAAATTATACATACCTTCTCACGGATATGAGCGAGGTGATAAAACTGGTCGAGTGAACTCGTTTGAGTTATCTATTCGCTGTAAAATTATCAGAGAATGTGTGTTTATAGCGTTGCTTTGGTTTGGTAAATCAATGAAGTATGATATACACGGATGAGTAAATGTAGATTATTTAAACAAAAGTGCAAATTTCTTCCATTGAAAAGTACAGAGGCGGGTACTCACGAAACATTACATGTGCTTGACTGCATCCACATAGATCGACTAGCCACAGTGTCCTACAGAAAGCCAAAAACGGGCTAAATCTAGCTGTAGTCGTGAAATATGTCTAAAATAGTTAGCTGCTTCGTTCATAAACAGTCTTCAATACGGCCATCTCATTTGCAGTTCGTTCAGATCGCACCATGTCGGTGTGTACACGTATTGCAATCGATGTCCGATTTTATCCCTAAGTGCTATGATTGTATAATAGCATTGTATAACTGCAGTATAAAACCAACACTCATCGTATACAACTCTTGAGAACGATATACAACTCCTGGATAGCGTATACAACTTCTGGGCAGCGTATACTTGATAAACAACTGCTGAATTTACATTTACCTATTATGATACTACCCTACCTCGATCGCGCATGCGCAAAATTTTTGGCTTTCAACCAGGTCGCTTTTGAGTATATGGACTGTATAGTCAACATGTTGATACGTTTTGTGCTCGGAGTGAGTCAATATTGTCATTCGCTGAACTTCAGTGGTGCAATAGTGAAGTCCATGTTCAAAGTTATATGATGGTTGAAGAAAGAATATAAATAATATCGTTTTAAATGTTAAAATATTTTATATGCCATAGTACAGGATACAGAGCTGCAAATGTTGATCAATACAGGGTACAAGAAATGTAAATACTAGAAAATAACATGTGCAGGTATAGCAATTTTTACCAAAATATTACTTTCCAGCTGAACTTGGATTTACGGAAATGTATATTGTATTGCATTCGAGTTTTGCTTCACTGCGCCCACTATTTTCTGTCTTTGCCTATAGTATTTTTTTGCCAACAATATTCTACAAACTGCTTGGTGAATCAATTTATGCCTGGTAGAACACTAGAAATAAATGTAAAATGTATTTTTCGTTCAGAAATATGGAATTAAACCCACGTCCTCCATTTGCAACTTAGCTGTACCCTGTATCCCTTTTAAACGTGGTCACATGGTAGGGTAGTGTGTTTATTGATTAAAGATTGGGGTGAGATAATAAGATCATATAACCCTACTATCACACAAAACTAG